GTATTATTGGAGAAAGAGTAATGTGGTGTACTACTTAAGAAAGGATCAACAATAAGAATGTTTTAAAAACAAATTATATATGTAATTTGATCACATTTATTATATAATAATTTTATGAATTAGAGTTAGTTTTGATCCGTTTTAATTTCTTATTATGTAAAACAAAAATATTAATAAAAATAGGTTAATGACAAAATCAAAAAAAAAATCGAGTAATGGAAAGATATTCCAAGATTTTTTCATATTTTCATTAATTATAACAAAATCCCTTAATTATCGCATTGAATGCAGATTATTTAAAATGATTATACAAACTCAAAATAGAAAATAATCTTTTTAAAATCCCTCAATATTTGGAAACCTATTGTAATTAATATCAATTTATCATCAACAATAGAAATTCTTCAAGAATATTGTTTCATGCGGGTTGATTTTTTTTTTAATAAACAATAGGTTATATCAATAGAATCAATAGATAATCTTTTAAAAAAAATCGATTTTTTAAAAAGAAACATAGCCCTTGAGTTTACTACTATTTACGATGGCATCCCATTGGAATTTATTATTTAGATTTTCAAAATTACATCAAAGATATTAACCTAAACAATCATTGCCAAAAAATCTTTACAAAATATATTTATTAGCCATAACTATCCTTGCTACAATTACATCCATACTGCTTGTTATAATATTTATTTACTCAAAAAATTACAAACCAAAAATATCATTTTTGACATATATAAAATTACTTATATTATTTAAAAATATTATAATAAAATGCAAACAACAAAAGAAATTAAATTTAAATCCATCATACATCGTTACTTAATGAACTGTATGTTTTCATTTCTATATTTTAAAAATTGAAACCTAAAACATACTAATCGTACACTCACACTAAATAATATATAGATATATATATATATATATAGACATTTTTTAAAAAAAAACTATAGGTTATATCTGTAGATAACCTTCAAAAGATTTAAATTTTGATTTTTAAAAATAAAATATAGCCCTGCGGTGTACCGCGGGTCAATTTCTAGTTAATTACAGTATTTTAGAAAAGAAGTTTCTAATATATAAGCCAAGTACAACTCTAATTAATTTGAGGCATTTTGGGAAGGAGCCCAATAACAAATGGCGTTGTCTTTAGACCCAAAAGAGATAATATCATACTATTGTGGAGTTGGAATGAGCTTGCCAGCTTGGAAAACCCAATAGAATTCCTACCTCTCACCACAAAGAGAAAACAATCATTACAAACCTACCTGAACTAGGGTGTTTCAAAGATAGTTTTACATATATTAAAACATATACTACTTTTTCATCATCTCACTGTCATCTTGTTCTTGTTTGTGTGCACGCTAGAAACCACCTAGAGATTAGGTTTATTCCGAAGCATTTGGTGATTTTTCGTAGAAAGAGGAACTAGATGAAGAGTATATATCTTTTAACTTGTCTAAAATTACACTTCAAAAATTTCAGTTCCGGTGGTTATGTAACTTTTTTTCACTCTCTAAAGTGAGTAGTTCGAACCTCAGATTTTTTTTTAAATAACATAAAAATACGTCGATTTAGAGTTTAACTAACGGAATCTGCTAACATTGACTTAACTCCGTTAAATTGGTATGTCAGTCGATTTAACGACGTACTTGATTTGGCAAAGTCAAAATAAGTTAAAGATGAAAGTCACTTAAAATTGACAATTTAATTCACGATAACCAAAGTTCAAGTCCTTTTATGGCATTTCCCTTCAACTTTCACTCTAAGATATATTTATAAAATTTTAGAAGATTATAAAACACTAATAAATCGAGTATTTACAGATCGTGTAGTAAAGCTGATAACGGATCAAGACGGTTATTAAAAAAAAAATTAATACCTGATATTTGGCCCTTAACTAAAAATACTAAAATTACTGTACCCTTTCTCATACCCTATTGATCACTGATACCTTTTTTCCTAAATAGAAACGAATCGGATAACGGGTTGGATACGAATAACGGATATGAATGTCTAAAATCCTACCTTTGCATCACATAACGGGTTGGATACGAATAACGGATTTGTCTTTTTTTTTTTCGAATATTAAAAGTTTAATTGTTTAGAAATATGAAAGTGTAAAAATTGGGACTTAGGACAGGTGTCGAATGGAGAGGGTTGCAGTTTTTTTAGAATTGACTTGTGATTTATTATATAAAAATGCGTGGCCTAGCAGTTGAACCACTCAAATTTTGAGAAAATGGTGTATTTTGACCCGAACAAATTATACGGTGTATTTTTATTTCTCAACAAATATACCCTGTTTTTTTCAATTTTAACGGTATAACAATTCAATAAATTATTTAAGGTTATTAGATTTGAGAATAAAATTACATTTCCGCTAATACAGACGATATGGTAATGATGGGACATCAGTTTATTTGAATTGTTTTATTTAGGCAACAATGTAGATATATACCCTTTATTCGACCAGATCTTTACGGATAGTAAAAAACAATTACTCTTACACGACTCGTAAATAACGGATACCCGAAAAAATGGGTAGCCGTTATAAATACATGACCCGCTAGATACCCAATCTTTTTCTCTTACCCACATATTTATTGATAATTCATGTATAAAAAGGTTTTCTGTATAATAAACTTATATTCCAAAACAAAAGTATTTGTTTAAAAAAGAAAAAGAATTCATAAACATATAGTTCCAAAAATATAAAATTATAAAATTAGCTTTTTACTTTCAGAATAATATCATAAAAAGCCTCGACTTACGAAATGTATTGAAAACAAACTTGAACTTTGCTTGTGTTGAATTAATTGGCAAATTTTATTAATTTTTCAATTAAATAGTTAACTTTCGTTGACTTTTGCCAAATAAGGCACGCCGTTAAGTTAATTAACAGACCAATTTAACGGGGTTAAGTCAATATCAGGGCCGGCGTTAGGGGGGTTCTAAGGGAGCAAATGTTTCGGGCCAAAATGTTTTTGGATAAATTTAAGGGCCCAATTTTTTTTTTTAGTAAGAAAAAAAAGGTATTTTAAAAACTTTAAGATATTTTTAGTATGAAAAATGTCCAAGTATTTTATTTAGTATGAAAAATGCCAATTTTTTAGATTTTTTTAACATGAAAAAGGCCCCTTTTTTTTTAATATGAGAAAGGGCCAATTTTTAAAATTTGTACAGGGACTCCAAATTAATTGAGCCGGCCCTGGTCAATATTAACAGATCCGTTAAATTCAAAAATCGTTGTTTTTGTTTAAAAAAAACATAAATATGGGATTCGAATCTCTCACCACAAAGAGAAAACAATCACAACCACCTAAGCCGAAGTGTTTAAATGATAGTTTTACACAAAACATATACTCCCTCCGTATTTGAATAAATGTCGTTCTAGCATTTTTTCTGTGTTTTTAATTAGTTGTCATTTTAACAACTTTTGCATAAAATTTCCTAAATTACCCCCAATTAATTGATCATAATTAATCAGTCTAAATTACCAAAACTACAGATACCAAAAATATAATTGTAAATAATCGTTTCTCATAAGGTTAGTTTTGTAATTCTGTGCCCTTTCTTAATTCACCCAAAAACAGTTGAAACGACATTTTTTCAAATACAGAGGGAGTACTACTTTTTCATCTTGTTCATGTTTCTGTGCACACTCGAAACCACTTAGAGATTGAGTTTATTCCAAAGCATGTGGTCATTTTTTGCAGAAAGGGGAACGAGATGAGAGAGAGATGATGAAGAGTATATCTTTTAATTTTTGTAAAATGATTATAACATTCATTATGTAACGATTGTTTACCCTCCAAGGTGAGTGGTTCGAACTTGTCGAACCTCAGTTTTTTTTTTTTATATAACACAAACTACGTTATTTTAGAGCTTAACGAAATCTGTTAATATTAACTTAACTCCGTTAAATTGGCCCTTCAGTTGACTTAACGACATGTTTGATTTGGTAAAGTCAACATAAGTTAACGATTCAATTGGAAACTCACTAAAAATTGGTAATTTAATTCACGACAAACAAAATTTAATTTATGACATTTTTGAAATTAGATAACGGGTTAAGTACGAATAATGGGTATTAGTGTCCAATCTGACCTTGCATCACATGATTATCCCTAACTGGCGATGGTTATTTAATAACGAATCTTTCGCTCATTGGTTTATTATAATTTAAATGTAGCACTCAACGTCACTATCAATAGCTGGCAATGGCAGGGTCAATGGCCGAACATAGAATTATCGGTCTTGAAAGTTATATTTAATACAGAAAACAATTTATACAAATACGCTAAATGTCCAAAAAAACTACACAATTGTGCACTTAGAAAAGTATTAAATTCCATAAAAATACACAATTGTTTTGCGTATTTAAAATACAAGAACTTATACTTATATCTAGTATTTCGAATTCTAAAATCTGAACCATACATCTATTTTACTACATCTTGTAACGATGATATTTATGGTGTTTAACTCAGTTTGTTATTTCGTTTAGTTCCTAACAAAAATAAATCCACATATCAAAGATTTTTTTATTTTAAATTAGGTAGAAGCTTCAAATCTAAAAGATTTTTGATTATGTAACACTAACTTTCAAAAGCTAGAGAAAAAGAGAAAGATGAGAGTTTTTAATTAGGTTAACATATATTGGGTAGAGACTAGAGATTCTAAACTGTGTGTACAACTAGGCCTAAGATTATTATCCGGTATCCGCGGATATCCGTATCCGTATTCGTTTTTAATCCGAAAAAACGGATATCTGGGAAAACGGATACGGATACGGATAATAAAATAACGGATATTCCGGATACGGATACGGATACGGATAATGTTAATTTTAAAAACGGATAACGGATATCCGGTTATTTTGTATTTTTATACGAAAATATGAGTATATTTATACAAAATACGGTATAATTATACGAAATACAGTATTTTTATACGAAAATACGGTATTTTTATACGAAAATACAGTATTTTTATATTAAAAAATAATATATATATATTTTTTTGCATGTCTACGGATATCCGCGGATATTCGCGGATAATCGGATTTTTAACGGATATCCGGATAGCGGATATCCAGAATTTTCGGATACGGATACGGATACTAAAATCACGGATAATACGGATACGGATACGGATACGAATATCCTAAAAAAACCGGATATCCGCTCCGTTAACATGCCTATGTACAACTCAGATTTCGAATATTAAAATGAGTAAAAAAAATATGACGTGTGTACTTTTTCTAAGTGCAAAAAATAATTTTTTTTTATGGAAATAAAAAAATATTTGATATTATATATATGAAAATTTCTCTTTAATAAAATAAATTAATAAACAACTACATCCATGAGAAGATAGAAAAATACAAATCAAATAGATGTTAAAAAAAAAAAATACAAATCAAAACTTTAGACTATCGATGCAGGACAACTTGTGATTGTGCCTTTTGTCTCTAAAACTTTTCTTCAAACAAACGCAACCAGACCCGAAACAGTTTTTGGCCATGGCCATATCGTCGACGGTTGAAGAACGGCCACCTCAACATCAAGTGTTCATCAATTTTCGCGGGGCAGAGTTACGCAATGGATTCGTCAGCCATCTCGTCACGGCCTTGCAAAGTAAGGACATTAACGTCTTCATCGACAAGCTCGAAGACCGAGGCAAACCCATAGAAATACTATTGGATAGGATACAGAAGTCAAGAATAGCTCTGGTTATCTTCTCTGGGAAGTACACCGAGTCCGTCTGGTGCATGAGAGAGGTGGCGAAGATCAAGGATTGTATGGATGAAGGAACACTCGAGGTGATTCCCATCTTTTACAAGGTAGAGCCATCCACGGTGAAATATTTGATGGGAGACTTTGGTGATACATTCAGGAGTTTGGCCATGAATGAATATGATGAGGGGAAGGAGAAATGGGAGGACGCTTTGAAAGCGGTTTCTGGTATAATGGGCACCGTGGTCGATGAAAAAAGGTAACTGATTTTGCTCAAGTTGTTGAAAATTTATCAAAAGCTCAACCCTGTAGAACACTAGTGATTACAATTGTAGAGATCGAATTACAAAACTTTTCATCGGAATTTAGCAAGGTCGTGATTTCATTAGTAATTTTCCTCACTCGTATTGCAGCGAGGAGAGCGAAATAGTAAAAAAAACTGTGGATGACATTAGGAAAGCGCTGATCAGAATTCCATCGGAGGGAAGCCAAACTACCTCTGTCAATCCTTCACCAAATAGGGACACTCGAACTTCCTCAGGAGAAGAAAAGCATGAGACTTTTGGAAACGAACTACGCCTAAAGGAATTGGAAGAGAAATTGGATCGTACAATCAAGAAAACTTGTATCATCGGAGTTGTTGGTATGCCTGGAATTGGTAAAACCACACTGCTGAAAGAGCTCTTTAACAAGTGGCAGAATAAGTTTAATAGGTGCGCATTAATCGATGAAATCCGTGGAAAGTCAAATCCCTCCGAGGATTTTGATATCTTGCCCAAATTGCTTGTACGAGAGTTACTAGCGTTTAATGTGTCCACCTTAGAAAATGTTGAAGACCCATACGAAGTGTTTAAGGGTCTACTTCTCAACGAGAAAGTTCTTGTCATTCTTGACGATGTTAGTAAAAGTGAACAGATAGACGCTCTTCTTGGGAAACGCGACTGGATTACTGAAGGAAGCAGGATTGTCATTGCAACAAATGACATGTCCTTACTAAAGGATTGGGTAACAGATACTTACGTGGTCCCGCTACTGAACCACCAAGATGGCTTGAAACTTTTCCACTATCATGCCTTTGATGAAGCTAATCCTCCTGAAGATTTCATGCAGCTTTCAAAAGAGTTTGTGCATTTTGCCAGAGGCCTTCCACTTGCTCTCAAAATATTGGGTAAAGAACTTTATGGAAAGGGAAGGCTGCAGTGGGAAGAAAAACGGAAGTTACTCGCAGAGAGTCCCAGCCCTTTTATTGAAAGTGTCTTCCGAGTGAGTTATGATGAATTGAGTTCAGATCAGAAAAAAGCATTTCTAGACATAGCTTGTTTCAGATCGCAGGATGTGGCTTATGTAGAAAGTTTACTTGCTTCATCTGAAGCAATGAGTGCAGTAAAAGCTCTCACGGATAAGTTCCTGATTAATACTTGTGACGGTCGAGTGGAGATGCATGATCTACTGTATACATTTTCGAGGGAACTTGATCCTAAAACATCCACTGAAGATGATCGCACAGGACGAAGGTTGTGGCGCCATCAAGACATAATCAAGGAAGGCAAAATTAATGTAGTGCAGAAAGAAATGGTGAGCTCCTCCTGATTGTTATTGACCAAAGCTTACTTTTTTTTTTATTCTCTTTGCTAATATCGTGTTGGTTATTGTTTTTAATTATTACTAGAGAGCTGCCCATGTCAGAGGTATTTTCCTAGATTTGTCTCAAGTGAAGGGCGAAACGAGCTTAGCTAAAGATCACTTCAACCGTATGACTAATCTACGGTATCTCAAGGTCTATAATTCTCATTGTCCTCAGGAATGTAAAACTGAAAATAGGATTAACATCCCTGATGGACTTAAGCTACCATTGAAAGAGGTTCGATGCCTCCACTGGTTGAAATTCCCATTAGATGAACTTCCCGAAGCTTTCAACCCGATTAATCTCGTCGACCTTAAGCTGCCATACAGTGAGATTGAACGACTTTGGGAGGGTGACAAGGTGTGTTTTTGTAGCCTTTTTTCGTTAAATGAACATGTGTAGTTTTTTTTACTGGTGGCTAAATGTATTGCTCTCACAGGATACACCAGTCTTAAAATGGGTCGATCTCAATCACTCAAGTATGTTGAGCAGCTTGTCAGGATTATCAAAGGCTCCAAATCTTCAAGGACTGAACCTTGAAGGGTGCACACGTCTTGAATCTCTTGCAGATGTGGATTCCAAATCACTGAAAAGTCTCACCCTCAGCGGCTGCACAAGCTTCAAGAAATTCCCGTTGATTCCAGAAAATCTAGAAGCTTTACACTTAGACAGAACAGCAATAAGTCAACTTCCTGACAACGTGGTGAACCTCAAGAAACTTGTCTTATTAAATATGAAGGACTGCGAACTGCTAGAGAATATCCCGACCTGTGTTGATAAGCTGAAAGCTCTTCAAAAGCTGGTACTCTCTGGTTGTAAAAAGCTCCAGAATTTTCCAGAAGTCAACAAGAGCTCTTTAAAAATTTTACTCCTGGATAGGACAGCCATAAAAACGATGCCACAGTTACCATCAGTGCAGTATCTATGCTTAAGCTTCAATGATCATCTTAGCTGCATTCCAGCTGACATCAATCAACTTTCTCAATTAACACGGCTGGATTTGAAGTATTGTAAGAGTCTTACCTCTGTTCCAGAGTTACCACCAAATCTTCAGTACTTTGATGCAGACGGCTGTAGCGCACTGAAGACTGTTGCAAAACCGCTGGCCCGCATCATGCCGACCGTGCAGAACCACTGCACTTTCAATTTCACCAACTGTGGTAACCTGGAGCAAGCTGCAAAGGAGGAAATTGCATCGTATGCGCAAAGGAAATGCCAGTTACTATCAGATGCTCGTAAACACTATGATGAGGTACCTCTCTATATCTAATTCTATTACATGTATGTGGCTCTCTGTATCCCTCTCTTTGATTCTTATATTAAAATGAAACTCCACAATTTATGATTTTCCTTTTCTATAATGTTGCAGGGTCTTAGTTCAGAGGCTTTGTTCACCACTTGCTTCCCTGGATGTGAGGTGCCTTCGTGGTTTTGTCATGACGGAGTTGGATCTCGGTTGGAACTCAAACTGCTCCCACATTGGCATGACAAGAGCCTTTCTGGGATAGCTTTATGTGCTGTAATCTCATTTCCTGGTGTCGAAGATCAAACCAGCGGCTTGTCGGTGGCATGCACCTTTACGATAAAAGCTGGAAGAACATCATGGATCCCCTTTACTTGCCCAGTAGGAAGTTGGACTAGAGAAGGAGAAACGATTCAGTCAAATCATGTTTTTATAGCCTACATTAGTTGCCCACATACCATAAGGTGTCTCAAAGACGAGAACTCTGACAAATGCAATTTTACTGAAGCCTCCCTTGAGTTTACTGTGACAGGTGGGACAAGTGAGATAGGAAAGGTGTTGAGGTGCGGTTTGAGTTTGGTGTACGAAAAAAATAAAAACAAAAACAGTTCTCATGAGGCAACGTATGATATGCCTGTTGAAGTGAGCTATAAGGAACCTCAGCGAAAAATAAAAAAAGAAGTGTTGATAGACGACCAAAGAATAAACGAAAAGTCAGACGAATTGATACCATCCAGTATCACCCGAACTTGTGGGGCAAGTGTAACTCCAATAATGGGAGATCTCCAAGCAAGTAGTTGAAAAATATCCAAGGGGGGATGACGATGTTTCAGGTGAGCCATATTCTTACCAAAAACTCCAAGTAGTTATAGAGAAAATTGTCCCTTTGTAAAAATGTGGTTCATGGTCGTGTATCTTTACAGATGTCATTGGTGGAGCAAGTCCTTCTAGAGCAGTTGATGTACTTTTTGCTCTCTGTGTAAAGCTAAAGCATCTGCTTCAGACAAAAGCCTCTTTCTTACCATCGCCAACGGATTTGGCAGAGTAATTTTTGCTTACAAAAGCTTTTTTTTACCATCATTTTATTTTCTTTTAACTTCAGTGTTCAATGGACGTCTGGACAAGTTACAGAGCAGAAAGGAAGTCTCTTATTAGAGACATTAAGTTTCTGTTTCTGGTTCAAGTTAATTTCAGGGTCTTGTTTGGTATCTTTCTGGTATTTTAAGCTGTGTAAGACTCTTTTTTACAGTTGAATAAAGAAATTTATTTTTCATAGTTCTCTCTCACATTGATCATAATCTGAAATGGCTATCTTTCGTGCACGGCAAATGTTTTAACCCTCTCGTTTTGTGGAGCCCTGCCATTGTCGTTTGAAGTCTAGCTTGGCTGTTGTCACCTTTCAGCCCTCATGATTTTGTACCACGTAAGGATGATCCCTCTGTTGTTTGGAAGGGGAAGAATGATATTTTTGGGCCAAAGTTTTCTATGAAAGATACATGGAACCATATTCGAACCACGACCACCACAATCTCATGGCATAGAGGAGTTTGGTTTGCATACGCAACACCAAAATATTCTTTTTGCATGTGGTTAGCAGCCCACAATAGACTCTCGACGGGTGAGCGTATGATAAAATGGAACCAAGGAGCAGCGGGAACTTGCGTACTTTGTCAAAACCAGTTGGAGACCAGAGATCACCTCTTCTTCTCATGTCAATATGGCTCACAAATCTGGGCAGCTCTTGCAAAAGGACTTCTAAAAGCTAGGTACACAATCAACTGGCCCCTCATTCTCGATTACATCTCAAATGAACGGCTTGATAGAGTGGATGGATTTCTTATAAGAGACGTTACGCAAGTCGTAGTCTATACGATTTGGCAAGAACGGAATAGAAGAAGACACGGGGAGAGTCCGCAACGAGCATATTGTCTAATAGCTTGGATTGATAAGCAAGTAAGGAATCGGATTTCGGCGATTCGCATAAAAGGAGATATGCGATATGAGACAGCATACCAAACATGGATCAAAGCTCGTATCTAAGTTTCTTGGCTGTCTAAATGTTTAAATTTTTTTCTCAGCTGTTCCCTTTTTAGCAAACCGTTGCACAAGTTGTAAAAACGTTTATTTTTTCTTTTGAATATAATTTAACATTACATTCAAAAAAAAAAATGTATGTAACAGAATGATTAAGCGAGTTAACTATAAAGGTTCAAAGGGGTTTAAGCTTTTACTAGATGAACCCGTTCTTGACTGCAATCTATTTTGTTCCCCTTCTCTGTGGTTAGAGGGCAATAATTATCCATTCACGTACCTTCTTGGAAAAGCTAATGATGATTCAAGCCAGAAGACAACACTTAACATGATGGGGGCAAAACATGGTACGCCTTTCTCAGCAAGAGACCCAACAGAAATATCGGATCAACTTCTTCACAGACAAACTCAAGCCGATTGGTGCAGATCTCACCAATCTCTTTGTAAGAAATTGAGGAGTAAAAATCATGATGGTATGCTATGGAATCGAAAATGTGCCAAGTGAGTTTATGAAGATCAAGAGTGGGATTTCTCACCTACTAATTAAGAATCCCCGCTTGATACCTAAATTTAGTTGATGAACTCTCCCCTGAGTTGTTTCACAATTACTGGTCTCATTAGGAAAATTTATAGAATGTATTTCTTTGGATTCTAACATAAGTTTAAGAAATATCCTTCGTTAGATTTCCTGTAACTCGATTTCATAGATAACTGTATGAAACTACAACTGTTCACAAAAAAAAAAAGGGTTGTAATATGTGAGCATCATTTATCTCTTACTGTCACAGACTCACAGCCAAGCTATACCATGAAATTAATATAAATAAATCAGAAAACTAAATAAATGATAAGGACGTGCTAGTATCGTCGATGTGTCACTATCCCTTTTATGGGGTCGTGGGGTCAACTAGTGGAGGCGTGTGTACGAAAAGTCTCTCAATCGTTACTTGAGGCACTCTCTACCAAGATTGGACTTTCCTCTGGGATCATAAGATCATATCTTAGTTATAAGTTTTTTTTTTTTTTTATCTTAGTTATAAGTTCTTATAATTAATATATTCATTTATATCCTTTATTCATATTTTGTATAGATTCTCTCTTAGTTTCATGTATATATACTAGGGATTGACCCGCGGTACACCGCGGGACTATTTTTTTTTTAAGAAAATAATATATGTTTTTTTAAGAAAAATGAATATAGGTTTTAAACATAATAAGTCTTTATATAACCCATTTAGATGTGTGATTAGAATCTATATGAAAATCAATGTAGTGCTAATTGTACGAGTAGTATGTTGTATGTTTGAATATTTATAATAAAACGAATGAGATTAATATTCAGTAAGCGACGATGTACCGGGTTGTGTACAAAGTACGTATCGTCTTATTGTGTTTGTTGTATATTAAAAAACTTTTGAAAGTGTATAAGGACTTTATTGTTAATGTGCAAATATATGTTTTGGTTCAAAAATTTTGGTTATGGTTAGAAATATTTAAATATGATATCAAAAATTTTCAAAAATTTCTGCTTTTTGATTTCTCTTGAGCTTGGAGATTGAAAGAGTGATTATATTTCTGGTGGTTCTATAATACTGGTGAGCTAATTCAACGATGCAATTTGCATCTATGGAGTTCGAAACCTAGAAGATGGAGATCATCAATCAGAAGAAGCTTCCATTACTGAGGTAACACATGAAAGTCTCAAACTTTCTCTACTAAATTCAATTGATTGGTAACGTATAAGAGTAATTGATAGCTTTTCTTTCCAATAGCTTTGTTTCTGGTTCATGTGAATACTGTATATGGTTGTTTAGTAAATTAGTAGATAAAGTTTCTTTGATGTAGATACTTGTATATCTCTGCATGTATAGTTGACTTAGCTAATTGGAATGTATATGTTGATTTCTAGAAATGTAGTTCTAGATAACTATAGCTGATTGATTAGAAGATATGGTGAATAGGCATACTTCAATCTGGTAGTACAATGTTTGAGGCAGATATTGAAAGAAATAAAAAGATAGAGCTCATAATTTCATTGAAGATTGAAAAAAAAAGAAATGTCTGAAATGATCATATATTGAATGGTAGCTTGTTTGTCTGGCTGTTGAGTTACTTGATTGCTGCCTGAGAAAATTAGAAACTGTTTCCGTGTTAATATTTAATTGTGGGGTTTTCAAGCCATAATTGAAATCGGTAGAGTATGTTAAAATAAGAAAACATACCTTCTCTGAACCAATTCACAGAGAATGATATTAGGAAAGTTAGCCTATGTTCTGAAAAACCTCCTTGAAAACAACATTGGTTGTTTGCTTCTGAATTTTTCCTTCTTTGTCTAGTATTAAGATTTTCAAACCTTTCTTAGACGTAACCCTAGACAGAATAAAATCTAATTGTGTGATTTGATTGTGTAGCCTAAAGAAATAAAACTTTCTTTTTTTTGGTGTTGCAGGGCAAAGACATATAGACAGAATCAAGCTAACTCCTAAGTCATTAATATTGAATAAGTACTTAAGGTATGTTTCAATACTACTTACATGTTTAGAAAGAAACATATAAATGTCTTTCCTTGAGCCTTATGTTTGAGTAATAAATTTTAGGAGTATTAACCAAGCAAAAAAAGTCAATAAAAATATGCTACGAAATTAAATTAGTTATCAAATAAGAGTTATAATTCCCACATAAAGTGAAATTTATTACACATGAACACATGTTATTCAAAAGGTAACCATAGTTTGAAATAGAGGAAAAAACAGAATCCAACGGTGCAATAGGAAAACATAAAAACAGGACAATAAGTTAACATAGGTCCTCAACGAAACAGATACTCCATCTACTGGTTCTCTGCAACCACCTCCCACATCACAACCTCAGCGTCAGCTCTTTGCTTCTCAGTGAAATCCTGACTGTGTTACAAAAAACAAAATGTTAGAGCTACTAAAATGATTCATAATTTTAGAGTCTTTTGAATCATAAGTGTAGGCAGAAACTTACATGTATCTTCTGACATCTACATCAGGAAACCTTGGGTTTAGGTAGAGATGTGAACAACCATGTTCACTCATTAAAACAATTGTACCTGAAGTTTAATGCAAGCAAACTATAGTTAAGAGACAATATAGACAAATGTAGTTAATTCATATGAATTAGGATCAGATAGATAGAAAACTCTCACAATTTGATACCTTTATATGAAAACACCTTTATTTTTTGTAAAACTTACCAAAAACCTCTGAGATTCTCCAGCCCCGGAGAACAGCCACTATAGGTTGGTAGTTGTAAGTAGGCGCAGTGGTCTGTTTAGCATATTTAGTCACAAACAACTCACAACACTTACCAACAGCACAACATTTGATCTCCTTACCCCTATAGTGTGTTGAAACAAAACGTTTATGTAAAAAGAACAATTGCAGATGACATGATAACTCACAACACATGATACAAACTCAATAGAAGTCAAACTTACTCTAGGTCCACTAACTTGAAGGCCACATATCTTGATTCATAATCTGTCCCACCCAGACGTGTGACATAAGGAAACCTTTTGATAGTTGTCACAGCCGAGACAACACCAATAGCATCTAAGTAGATGATATAAACAGAACAAACAGAGTTCAGTAAGATCCATATAATCTAACATTAAATAAAATTTGTTATAAAATTCCTTACCAGTTACAAACTCTTTTTCCTCTTCCATAGCAAACTCAACAGTCTCTAGAAAAACAAAATCAAAGAAACTATAAGGGCATTCAACACTAATAGGCCACATAGTAGTGTCTGCGTTGCACTTGATGTGATATGGGAAGCAACAATATTTGATTTTCTTCTCTTGAGTTTGCAGAACCTCAAAGTCAGACATGCGAATACCATAAGGTTGGTTTCAGTACAGCTTGAAATTCCAATTGTAAGATCGATTTGGAATAGTTGCATCGATCCTAGTACCCTAAAATCACATAAAAATCCATACATGAGTTGATCACAACCAACAAAAACTACCAAGCATAAAATATAAAGTAGAGAATCCATAGTCATTTAAGTTTATACCTTTTTGTCCGCCTATATCATTCTGGTCTCAACCCTACCATTCACCAGAGGCTCCTTCCACATGCTTAGGATCTTAACATGGACCAACCATCTCGTCTGATTCACATTCAAATCAGATAGGTAGTGATGAGGTTCCATTAGCCAAGTCGGCTTTGACCTTTTACAGAAAATGTGTGATGAATGAGAGTTTTCGTGGAGAAGAAAAGAGAAACTGTTCTTTATATGTAGGGAAGATAGTTAACAGGTTTGAAGAATAGAAGTAGAAGTTATAGAAAATATGAAACGTTTGAGTCTTAAAAAACGTGTAAATTTCTATATTATCTATAAGCAATGATTACTTGACTGACATTAGCAATATACTTGGAAAAAGCAAGTATCTCAATGATTTGATATATATACAGTTTCCATATTTATCTCCGATTAAATATTTTGAAAATCTTAACAATATATTGACATGTATATATTTTGTTTAAATACTATTATAAGAACATCAAACTTTTGTATGTATTATTACTTAGATGCATAACCCTATGATTACATTAATGATCTAAGTAAAAATACTTAATGACTCTTTGGTTTATTTTTTACAGGATAATCTTTATATAGGTTATGGTGCAGTTGGCAAAAAACTGTCTCAAGCAAACCATAAAAGTAAGTATTCGGAAACTATATAATTGGTTAATTTTCATGAAAACATCATGTTAGGGGGATAAAACTTAAAGCACTAAGGTTATGTATAAAAATGTTTATGAAATTATAACAGAAGACAACCATAGTAGGCAAATGAATTTTAGGAAAAAAGGAACTTAATTATTCAATTTAAGTTGAATACCGCTGAAGGATTCAACTTAAAACATAAAGAACCAACAGTAGAAACAAATGAAAAAACCAAATAAAACTGAAGCAATAGTTCTCAACAGAAATAGCAAACAAACTTAAGAAACAATCCAAACATATAGGGATTTAAAGAGATCACTTCTTTTTTTCAATCTTCACCTTGATATCTTCCTTCTTCACCACAAATTTCTTCACAGCTCCACCATCATCATGCTTAACTTCCTCAGATTCGACCACCTTACCTTTGTTCTTCATATCAACATTCTCCTTTGTTTTGTCTTCTGCCTTAACATCTGCTAACTCCAGTATAACCTCCCCCACAAACTCCGGATTAGACTTCTCCAAGTCCACTGGTTCAATACACAACTTCTTTGAAGTTGATGATCCATCAGAGCTTCCAACATTAAGGGGGTAAACACGCTTAGAGGATGGAGTTATTGAGTCAGTAGTCTCTTGACTACACTCCAGCATTAGAGGTACCTGGCCATAGAAATGAAAAGTAAATTCAAGTTGTCAAAAACTCACAGTTGGATGATTAACATAAACAAAGATTATATATATCAACCTGAGGAGTTACCTGATCAGCAGATACAATTGAGGCAGCATTGACAATGTCAGAAGATTCTTCCAACAATTGTTCCTCAAGTAGTCCATTCTTCTGAAGAACTTTTGAAACCTTGTAGATTTCTTTTCCATCAAAGATGTTTGCTCTCTCAATCCAGACCAGAAAGAGAAATGTCTTCCCAATAAGATTCTTAACCGGATCAGGCAAATCCTCAGGATCATCAATCTACAGAGTATTGTATAAGTCAGTACAGTGCTTGGTATGTTTTTTTTAAAAAAAGCTTTGTATGTATTATAGTAGCACATACCTCATCAACTGAGCCATCAAGCACAGATGCTGCAGATTCACCAATGATTTCAGAGCAAATTGAATCAAACAGTAGGAGTCTTGCCTCAACAGTATATCCATGACTTAGCATAGATCATAGCCTATAACAGATAATTATGTAATAAGATGGCTACTGAAGCTATATATTTAAGAACGACAACTCAGGACTACGAATATTACCGTAGCAATGACATCTGTGACCACAGACTTGCACGCGTCACACCAGAACCTAGGTTTCTTCCCTTTGTTGTTGACACCATTAACCCCAGCATGGACATGTGTGACCTTCTTATTGCAAGATTTGCAACTAATGTAGTACCATGCCCAATCAGTATCAATGGCATAGATCGTACACATCAGCCTTGCCTTACCAACCTAAGAAAATAGAAAATATAACTTAGAGAAAGCTAGATATAAAGACTGAGAAAGCAAAGTTTCTTACATCCATAGAACTGATGAGTTCTGAAATTGTGTTCCTTGGAAACTCATCATAATCTTCGTTTTTGGCATTGACAATAGCAAATCTTGGTACTCTCTCACGGAATACACAGATTATACCATCATCCGGGAGTCTAATTTTTAACATATGAGTTAGCAGGTAATGAAACAATTATCGAGAAAATAGAATAAGAACTATATAATTAGGGCAAGTCTTACGATTGGATAAAAGCAGCTACTTCAGGGTAGGCTGGATTGACATGGACTTGAGTAGCATCAAATGAATTTGATAAGCTCCTAACACCTAGGTAATATAAGAACTGAAGTCAAAAACTGTCTGAAAGTAGCTACATATGTATGTATGATTGAGAGTAGTTGTTAGGTACCTTTGAATGCCTTTATCTTAGCAAATCGAATCAGACACACGACAGTCTTGCCTTCAGCAGCTTGACAGGCTGTGTAAACAGTCTGAGCAAATGACCCCCACAAAGTAACTGCAATTCTCACATCCCTAAAACAAATACAAAAGATCAGTATATTGAAAATCTGTAAAGCTAAAACTGAGTATGTTGAGAGTTAAAATATCACGTCTCATCTCTCATTTCGAAATCAAGCTTGCAAGTAGGCTTATTATTAGCCTCAAGGTTCTCCAACTCAGATACCATAACAATTTGGCCCATGACATCTGTTAAAACAAATACAAATGTTTAGTATATAATATAGTAAAAGAATAAATATATATGATTTACATATTTAATAAATAGATCACTTACCAACCAAAATGTGGGGATTAAGCTCTCCACTGTGAATCTTTTGGAACTTGGCCAAAGACAGGTAGTTTGATTCAGACTTAGGTTCAGAACCAAATACAGTAGTGGTGTTGACAAAAGTCATCTTGTAGAGATGATTTGTGGGACGGAATTGACCACCAGCATAACTAAGACCAAATGTCTCAATTAAGACCCAATCTCCAACAGTTAGACTGTTGACATACCTGGAGACCAAATCCTTTTTGACAGTGCAATGAATTTTCTTCCCCTGCAAAATGAAGTATTAGTTATGGTAGGAAATAGATAAAATGATGTGTATAGGAAAATTGATATGTTTTGTATTTGCTTACCAGTTCATCAGAGAACACCAACTCAAGAGTCTCACCAGTATCAGAAGTGTATTGTTTCCAGGCGTGGAGGACTTTCACCTGCACTCTCCAGCCAATCTTGTAAGGACGGACATCTTTGAGGTAACCAAAAGTAGCAGCCATTGTGGACTTTGTAATGTTTGTTTTGATGGGTAGTGAAGTGAGATGTTTAGTTACCGATGGTGAGAGTTGAAATGCAAATGAGTGTATATATAGTAAAATGAATTAGGTTAAGCATGTAGAGTTGTGATCACGCTAAAATATATTTAGGAGAATAAAATTAGGTATAAAATCTTTGGATCCCAACATAAAAGGAATATGCGTGATTATTAGTTTGTAATGCAATATATTTCTTGTTATAAATGGATATAAGAGAGATATTAAAGTGAGATAATCTCGGAGAATGAATGCAGGTACCATTCAATGATTGAGAGGAATATATGTCGTTGCTAAAACTGGAAAACGATTCTGGAGAGTGATTATCGGGCTCAAGGTAGTTTGAGAGTAAATCAAACTGATGAGATATTCTTGCGAAAGATTATTGGTAATTTAGATAGGATTAGGTTTAATAGCAATGTTAATTAAATGCAAATGTAGATATTAAAATGATTTGGAGGTTTTATTAGTTTTCATTTGATAAATTTTTCTCATATTTGGTTAAACGAATTTTTTAAAATGGTATATACGCTTTGATTAGGATTAGTTTTGGTTAGTTGATTAAATTTCGAAGATATGACCGAGATTATGGTGATTAAGAGTTTTAATTACGAATATTTGACTTCCATTTGTTAGGAGTTGATATCTCGTAAACGAAAAATTAGGAATTGTTAGATGAGTTTATTAATTGATTTGTAAATTTCATTAAGACAAATATTTTGTCAGATTTTATTTGTAGGGACTAAAAGTACAATATTTAAATTGTAAAAGGATTTTTGAGGCCAAATCTTCACCAAAAATGTATATATAGATCTTTGTATGTTGTATCAAATAATCAATCAATAAATATCATCTTGCTCTACATATATGGTACATAAAATGATGGATGAAGATAGAGAGAGAGAGAGAGGTCCATAATGCTTATGAATGACTTAGTATTTGGGACGAATTGTAACACCTTTGACAAAGAGCCCTGACTTCCACAGTTGGCACTCATGTTCATACATCGCAAAAGAGATTTCCCCGATGTTTGTCACCGATGTGGTGAACTCGCCAACTGGAATATCAATCCATTGATTAGTTATGTGACCTGCCATGCTCATACAACACTCTTGCGGTTGCTCTATACTACAAAGTAAGTCCAGCTTCAGCTTCACTGGTTTCTTCCATTTGAATTTGGTGTATTGCAACAACACCACTAACACTACCTCGTACCTTGTACTCGGGGACAGATATCGTGTGTCAAACTTTCCTTCTACGTCTAGCGAGCTTACTTTTCTCAAATACGCAATTTCCACGGCTGATTCGCTGGAAAAATATTGTGTTTAGTAATGAGACAATAAATCTTCGAATATATGTAGGCCAAACATTACTAAACTTACAAGAAAATTCCACAAATCAATTGTAAGAAAGCTCTTAAAAAAAGTTTAAAATAATTTTCTAAAATGCGTTTTTGATGGTTTTTAAAAATTATCTCTCTAACTCGTAAAAATAAATAATGTTAAGAGAAGTTTTACTATGGATTTTGGTTTGGTAGAGTGAGCCAGGTCCAATAATTTGAATCCTCTGACTATGTAATAGAAAGTCCCCTTGCGCCAATCATGAAAGTGTTACCTTTTGGTCTCCCGAGAACCAAGAATTTGAACTGTCGATATATAAATCTCCATGTCAATTTCATTTACTGATACCAATACACATAACACATATATAAAGAAAATCAACTAAACAAGAAAAGCAAAATGTTATCACCTCGTACGATAGCCCCGGTAACTGATTCCTATTCTGAAAATTTCAGTCATGTTGTTTGGCCAGTAAATTTCAACGGCTTCCTCACTGAACATAAATCCAAGCATCAAAATGAGAAAGTTCTAAGGAAACACAAGCTCGGAGGTTTGTTCCTTTTATTTGAATTTTGAACATAGATTAGTTCACTAGGAAAATAATGGATAGTAGCTGAGAAAATAACACATAGCTAGTAACTTACATTTTTTGGCTTCACTATATATATTTTTCTTTTTCATGCAAATGTCAGATTTTTTTAATTTATCCTTAAGAAGGAAATGTAGACTTTTCTATTATAAATGGCAAAGCAATAATGAAGGAAAAAAAATACTAGACATTTTTTACAATTTTTTTTTTGTTTTAAAAACATGATTTTGCTATTTCTGTCATTTAGAACATTTCTCAAATCTTCACGTTTTTGAAAAGTAATATACAACGTATTAATAATAGACTTATAAAAATGAAACCTCATAATCAATTAAAACCAGTTTTTAATGATTTATTTAAAATTTTTGGAAATCCCATTACTTAGATAATTATCTTAACCTATCATTTGATGATTAAATTATTCATCAGACATGCTATTCATGAAGCTCTCTGTAGTTTCATCAAGATATCATAGATGGTCTGAATTAACAGTGAGAAATGCTCTTACTTTTGTGCCTCGCTCATAGTGAGACTATGTTGACTTGCAGAGACCGAGAAACCTCCTTCCGGCAGCACTTTCCCAACCTCCTTGACGATTAACATTATGAAATCTTTATCGGATGTGTCACTTTTATATAAGGAAAAAAAAATCAATGAGTCAACGTAACTAGCTTTCCTTTATAATTGTACTACAAGAAACAGACAAAATCTTGGATGTGGAAGAATAAAAACCTGTGTTCGGGCAAGAACAAGGCAAACGTTTGGCAAACAGAAATCACAGCTTCCTTCCATTTTTGGGGTCTTTCTGGTTTATGTTTATATCTATATTCCAGATCCCTGAATTGATCGCCGAATTTTCCTTGAAGACGTTTCACCACCGCGGGATCAAGCTTGTAGAAGATGGGAATCACTCGAAGTTTGTTTTGATCCATACATTCTTTGATCTGTACCAGCTCATCCAAACACCATTTTGACTCGGTGTAATCTTCCGAGAAGATAACCAACGCTATTTTCGACTCACCCATCCTATCAAACAGGCTAGTTAGATATTTGCCCCTCTCCTCTTGATCGTCTATAAACACGTTGATGTTATTGTCTTTCAAGGCAGGCACAAGAAAGCTGATGAAGCCTTTGCGTAGCTCTTTTCCTCGGAAATTGATGAATACTTGAGGTCTCGTTGAAATCAATGATACATTGGAAGAAGAGGAAGAAGAAGAAGTGACTAAAGATGCTCCTGCCATCGAAGAGCAAACAAAAGGAGTTTGAGTGATGAAATTAATTAATGTGTAAGTCCTAGCTTTGTGAGATATATATATACTTAGTATGGTGACATTATTATCGTCATTGGTCGTCGTTATTACTATTATTAGTATAATTAATCTTCTGAAATGTACATTTTGGTAAAATCCATGTAATGTTAGTCCAAAAATGGAAGCTGCCAATACCTTTAGAAGAATCTCTCCAAAACGAGTGAGAGTTGACTTCTATACTAACTAGAGGGAAAATTGGATATAAAGGATAAATAATTAAACTTTTGTCCACCTATGCATTCTATATCCATGGTTGGTCATATATACTTTAATATTGGTCATATACTAGGATCGGACCCGCGGTCCACCGCGGGAGAATATTGGTTTACATACGTTGATTTTAATATTGTGCATGTTTTAAGTAGAGCGAATCGTGTAGTGTACATATAAATATTCATAATAACGAATTGTAGAGAACATATTCAATTGATTATAATTAAACCGATCATATTAATTATGATTACAAAATGGAATTTTATGTTTTAGAGGTCTAAAATTAGACGATTCATAGGAATTAGAGCAGTCAAAATAGATCAAAAACCGTGGGTCGAGCCCAAATCATCTCACTATGGGGCAGAATTGGGAAAATATATTAAACCCGTAAATAAACGGGACACATGGATTAATTCGCAGTGGATCATAGGTTTTAATCGGTTTTCGTCCGCGAGTTGGCGGATCAGCCTACATGTTAGTATTTATTGATAAAAATATAATTTATTCAACATTTTCTAATTTAAAAAACTTTTAATAAATGAAATTATAATATTTATAAATATAATGATATATAAAATTATTTTCTCTAATTTTTTTTTTTTTTTAGTAGTATTTTAAATTTACGTTACTTTAAAATTAATTAAACAAAATCCACAGACAACCCCACAAATCAGCATACATTTGCGGGACGGGTTTGTGTTTCATATATGCTACCCGCGGGTCGTGTGGACCGACTAACTATATGTCAAAATATATTTTGCCTATCACAAAACGGGCTTAACGGGACAAATCAACTCGCTTTGACAGCTCTAATGGGAATATTATTGGAAAAATTGGAAAAAAGGATATCTACTTAAAAATTTGTCCATATAACACTTTTTTTTGTAGATTGGTTAAATAGGTTTTTTAAAAAATCAAAACCCAACTTTACCCTCATTTTCACTCAAAATTAATTAAAAAATAAAACTTCCTAATTTATTTATAAAAACTAAATAGAAATCTAAAAGATTAAAACTTCCAATTGAGAAAGAGTCTTTCTTCTAATCCTAGACCTAATATAACGTTTTTTTTTTCTTTCGTAGAAGAACACATATTGGAGTTGTAAATCAAAATTATCTCTTGGTAACTACAATCCCCACAGGGATTTGAAGAAACATATGTTGATGATTAATTTATGTATATTATTCCCAATATAAACCTAAGTTTGCAGAGACGTAAGATTCCATTATTTATTCTAAACTAAGATCAGTGATCATCAGCTGTACATGTACATAAAGAAGAAAGATATGAAATAAAAGAAAATTAAAGAAGAGGCAAATGAAACCCACAAGTCATATAAGGGGCTGTCTGGTTTTAGATTGTGTTATTTGAATTCAAAGTATTTACATTTTTTGTTCTTTTTTTGGGGAGAGGGGGTTTCTCCCATCACGTCTATCAGCTTTAGGAACAAGCAAAAGGATCATGAAGCTTTTTAGAATTTGAAAGGAGACGTGTTCTTAGCATTAAAAAAAAAAAGGTGGTGGACAACGACTTAGATGATTACAAACTTAGGGTTTAGAAAACGTTTTAGGTTTTAATTTTGTCTAAAAACGTAGACAACGACTTTTACATCTTGTAGATCATAATCTAAACAATAAATATCCATTTAAAACGTAATCTCAAAAATATATTTTGTTTCCTTCTCTAAAGATTTACTTTCTATATTTAGAGCATTCTAAAAATTTCAGAAAATGAAATCTACAACATCGTAGAATATTCCTTCTAAACGAAGATTACAATTTCTAACGATGGCAGAAGATGTAGAAATTAGTAGAACGGCTATTCTAAAATATTTAGAATATAGAGTAAAGCGTAGAATGCATGTTCTAAATATTTTAGATATATGATTTTCAGACTTCTAAAATTTTCAGAACAGAAATCTAGTCTAAAATATGTAGAACATGTACAAAAATGCAGAATACACACTCTGAGTTTCGCAGAACTCTAGAAAACGTGTTCTAACAAAATTAGACGAAACTTTATCTATAAAAAAATCAATTTTTTTTTAACCAAATCTAAAAAATTTCACTACAAATCACCTCTACTCTTGTATATCTACCTGTTTTTCTGATTATTTTTTTAAAAAAATATTTAAAATAGGGTGTAGGGGTAATTTCGTCCAAAATTACAATCTCATCAAAAAAGTATATATGGACAAAATTTTTAGTAGATAGCCTTTTTTTCTAATTTTCCCATTATTATTTAGTCATACAACAAAATAGAGTTTGGACATAGGAATAATAGAATCTGTATCTTATTTGTTAGATGAGAGATTGAAACTTTGAAAGGTGAAATATAATGATTAAAAATTAATTATTATTTTTGATGATTCACAAAATTTAATAAATATTTATCATCTTGTTGAATAATTCTAAAAATCATCTTAGCGAAATAGGTTTTGGAAAATATTGGTTTATATTGTTCGCAATATCAAATCCACATTATTAGTATCCATATTTAAAGATCTTACGGTAGATTTGCTTGTTGATGGTATAATTTAAAGGAATACTTTATTAGTATATGCATTTAATGGTTAATCGAGTAATTAAGAAGATACCATATAAGTCGAGATTGTTTTGATTGTTTAAATATTTAATTTTCTAATCGGTATCCAATTGTATTTATTGCGAAACAATAGTATCCGTTATTAGTCGAGGTTTAATTTTGGGTCAGTTTAAAAAAGTTAATTATACTCAAAGATCCGTTTGCTTTAA